CTTTATGAGAATCTTTTTCCTAAAAAGCAGAATAAACATAGGCTCTCTCTTACCAGGCATAGTCTGCACATCTTTGGGCAGGAGATGTTCGTAGGTATTGAAGATTCCAGCATCTGAAATCACTATGGGAGCGTGAACATGCACCTCCTCCTGCCCCTTCAGAACACTCACACCTGCATCAGTGCCAACAAAATTGTGTTGAAGTCTCTTCTAAACGGTACCAAGTGTAAAATGTTGAGTGGGAAGATGTTTTAAGTGTTACCAATAGCCTCTTTAGCGTCATTGAGGAGTATGCGGTTGACAGGTGCTCTAACAAGCACTGCACCTCCTGCCTTCTCAATGATGGGGATCATGTGGTAGGCGATCTCACTCGCACCGCCTTTCGGGTACCAGGCACCATTCAAATAATGGCACAAAAGCAAACTGTGCATGGAAAAGCTGGCTTCTTTCGGCATTTTACCTGAAGAAGGTCAGTAGCTGCGAGTTACTGTATGGTTTATGATTAGAAATACAGAGGGAACACATGAAACCACAAATTTTCAGTCAGGTCAGAGAGCTGGATCATCTCACCGTAGGTCCCAAAAATGTAGCACATCACAGCTCTCAGGTCCTTATTCTGCGTCAGCTCATTCACCACATCCGTCAGGCTGCGGGATGCATAGCGGAAGAAGGAAGAGAGGCGATTGGCCAGGCCCGTGTGCACCAGGAACTTTGCAAGAGGAGTCGGGAGGAGCTTCAGCAGGACCATGAACCATACGCCATTTGCAACTTTCTGACAGGAGCATTAAAAATCAGTGTTAAGTTTTGTGTTTTACTCCATGTCTCCATGAAGATCTTTGACATGTGTTCTACAAAAGTGGATTTCAGGTCTAACCAAATTCCAAGTCTAGTCTTTGTAACTAATGAAATGCAATACCTATACTACATAACTGAACTGTGCCATAATCATAAAAGTACAGCAGAAATAGTTAATGAAGGTGATGTAAGCGTATGTGCAAGCAAGCAGTGCCCTTATTCCCCCTTTAGAGACATGTCACAATGCTCTTGGATGCGTGCCTGTCTGTGGCTATGATTGTAGGGGAAAGGTCATGCAAACAGCTACATACAAGAAATTGTATCTTTTAACTCCTAAATGCATCAAAATCCCCTAGATTTTTAGAGCACTGAATGACTAAAACTACACTACTATTCAAAAGATTGGGGTCAGTAAGACTTTTTTTAAGAAAGTAATAATTTTAACAATAAACACATTTGTAATATTACAAGTGAGCATAAGAGATATTAAAAATCTTACAGACCCCAAACTTCTGAATGGTAGTATATATATTTTAATAATTGGCCCATATGACCAGCATGTGCATTGACACCCGACAGACAACTCCAACTACTAAACACTATCCTCGTTTCTCACCTTGGAAAGTCTCACATATTCATCAATGGCCTTTTCCTCCCCTGGGAAGCACTTCTTCAGTTCATCAATGTAGCGTTTTTTTCCACTGTAGATGGGGTATATGCGCCGGTTTTCTGGTGGACCCAGGACCACGTTGTCAAAAGGGTTATCCAGCGGCTCCCACTGCAGCTGCCCATTGGTCAACTGGTCAATCAAACAGCGCAATGGCTTGTGATCCAGTAGTTCCCCAATATAGTGGATCCCTGAGTTAGGGGAAAGACATTCATATCACCACAAACTGATCTATACATGTGATATAGCACATTCATTGTTTTAATAAGACTCAATAAATGTGCTTATCTTTGCCAAAGCAAGACACGACAAGGTTTTAGGCAGATAAATACTGTTTTATCAGGTTGATCCATTGCTGAGGTACAAAGTCCTTCTCACCAACATCAAACTCAAAGCCTTGCTCTGTGAAGGTGTGACAGCATCCTCCAGCCCGGTCATGTTGCTCCAGAACCAGAACCTTCTTACCCACTTTAGCCAACAGGACAGCAATTGCCAGTCCACCAATCCCACTGCCAACCACTATTGCATCCAAGTCCTGAGGGACCTTACTGGCCAGAAAACCTGGATGTGGAAACAAATGTGGAGTGAGACTATGTGTTTCATGAAAACCAAAGCATTTACTGGAAGAAAAAAAGGGTTTACCTTATTTATATTGCCTAGACAACAATCTCAACAATAATGCGCAGGGTCATATTTTTAACTGACCTTGTTTCAGGACTTTATTCTTCAGCTTTCGGTCGAGCACCATGGGCTTCAGCGGCTCGCGCCTGTCGATAGCAAAAGGACTCGGTCCAGGAGTTCCCAACACATATTTAAACATAATGGCCACTAAAGCCAAGGAAATTACGACGACAGCGATCCACATGTTGTCAGGTACAAAGTGTTGTAATGTGCTGACAAGTACTGTCATACAGTAAAACAAAACACTTCCTCACAGCACTGCTCAATGTAATAGGTGTTTAGTGTTGACTCCTCCTCCGAATTCGATGCTGACCAATCGCAAGGTTTTTTTTTAAATGACGTATTGTGTGCGGAGAGAAGGGCAGTTTTAAAGAAGAAAATGTATACAAATGTGTGTTTGATATTATAATATTAACGTTAGATATTACAACTACTAAAATTGAACTACTTTATCGTTCTGTGTGAAATAACGTCTAATCGGATTTGTACTTTCGTCTCATTAAGTCTACTGCAATGGACCAAACAAATAAATGAAGCAACAATTCAACAATAGCAATTCTGATGGCTGTTTTCTGAAACTTAGCCTGTCAGTTCTTAGTTTGCTAATAATTTGTGTGCAAATGTCTGGGGAATGTTTAAATAATTTATTTCAAGACAAGTAGGCCTATGGCAAGTAACCTTGTTTTATTTATAGCTTCATTTACATGACCACTAGGATAGCCTATTACAACTCATTCACTGGAAATGACAACAGGTTTAAAGTTTAAAGCAGGGTTTTGCATGTATTTGAAATAGAAATCTTTTGTGACATTATAAATGTATTCACTGTCACTTTTGATCAATTTAATACATCCTTGCTCAATAAAAGTACAATTTATCTTTAAAAAATCTCACTGACCCCAAATTTGGTACAGTAGCCTAGTATATGCCAGGTTGTGAGCTGTATCTTTTTTCCTGGGCAATAACATTTAAATGTTCAATAATAACAAAATTGAGCCAGAAAACCCAAATATGAGGTTTAAATCAGATTGATTAACATTTGATAAAGCATTCCTGTTCATTTTTGTTGAATTTTGATGTTATGTGTAACAAAATGTCTTTCTCTGTGTTCAGGTTTGACTGTCCTAAAAGTAATGCAAAAACTGACATTTCAAACAACAACAACAAAAACTAAACCTTTACAAAAATCTAAAATAAAAAATAAGTATTTATGTCTAAAAACAGCTAGAGAATGTACAAGTCTTTTATATAGAGCTAGTCTAGTGGCTAAACCATGGAATTGCGGACGTTTTTCTTCTTTTACTCCCACCAGATGGCACTAATTTGCCTTCAAAAATTGGATTTTGAAAGTCATTGTCTCTATTTTAACATGAAATACTGCCATAATTGAAAAATAATATAAAAAATATTAGAACAATTATTTTATTATTTTCAATGGGGAAAAAACAGATCATAATTATTGCATAAATATTGATTATGAAATTATCTCAAAATACAAAAGAAAAAAATATTATTGAACAAAATATATTAGCCTAGATTGATTTTACTGAAAAAAGTTACTTTTCAGGTGAACAACACAAGTGTGACCCCCGAATGAACAATACCAGAGGGTTCAAGAGAATGGCCACTAAAGCCAAGGAAATTACGAGGACAGCGATCCACATGTTGTGAGGTGCAAAGTGTTGTCATGTGCTGACAAGTAGCCTACTGTCAGACTGTAAACACTTCATCACATCACTGCCCAATATAATATGTGTTTAGTGCTGACTGACTCCTCCTCTGACGACAACGACGATACTGAGATGTTTTAAATAAAAAAATATAAAAATGTATGTTTGATATAATTGTAGATTTGACCACTACTAAAATGTACCTGCTTTCGTGTTCATTGTGAAATAGCGTCTAAACGGGTTTATGCTTTTGTAAGACCTCTGCAATGAACCAGTTAAAATAAATCATTTATATAGACCATTACATTGCATGTTGTCTGTTTCTTCTTTTCATATGGAAATGCTTTATACAATCAGACTGTAAACACTTCATCACATCACTGCCCAATATAATATGTGTTTAGTGCTGACTGACTCCTCCTCTGACGACAACGACGATACTGAGATGTTTTAAATAAAAAAATATAAAAATGTATGTTTGATATAATTGTAGATTTTACCACTACTAAAATGTACCTGCTTTCGTGTTCATTGTGAAATAGCGTCTAAACGGGTTTATGCTTTTGTAAGACCTCTGCAATGAACCAGTTAAAATAAATCATTTATATAGACCATTACATTGCATGTTGTCTGTTTCTTCTTTTCATATGGAAATGCTTTATACAAAAAAGAGCTTTGCTCTTGTAGGCCTAGTGAGTTAGTTCATTCTCTAAATATATATACATATATATATATATATATATATATATATATATATATATATATATATATATGTATAAGGCACTTCTAGTACAATGGGTTACAAAGCCTTATTCTTATTTTGGCTGGTCACATTAGTACTAAAATTGTTAAAATAAAAAGTAAAAAAAGAAAAAGATAAACAAAAGCCTTTGGCCTCCAGCCTTCCTCAGAGTGTCAGCATTTCTGATTGCTATTATTTGAAGCTTTAAATTTGTATAAATAAATAAAAAAACCCAGCCTTCCTCAGAGTATGTCTGAAGCTTATTGTATGAATTCTTAATTTTGGCATGTTGTCTGCAAATGACTCTTTTTTTTCTTGATTTTGCCAACAAATGTCATCATTTTGGCTTTTTAAGAAAACATGTTTGGAATAGAATTAAGAAAAAGATAGTATATAAAACAGAATGGGATGCAACAATCTTGTTGTATACAGTACACAAGGTGTAAATGTATGGCTTCATTTACAAATATAACATATGCATGATACATGATCACTAATGATAGCCTATTACAACTCACAACACATTCGATGGAAATGACAACAGGTTTAAAGTTTAAAGAAAACTAAATACAATCTAAATACAAGCAATAAAAGTGATCTAATTACTTCTTTTAGATCTCTGTCACTGAGGTGGAGAGCATGGAATCTCACAGATCCTCTTCTGTTTCCTCAAACAAGAAACGTCCCCCCATTTTTCTCCCTTTAAGATAACACAGTCTTCACCATGCAAAGGATTTTCACTCTTCCAGTCATCTGGGGGAGACTCCCATCTATAATAATGATTAATTACAGACATGAGGTCAAGAACAAATTTATGGAAAACAACTGTAAAAAAAAAAAAAAGTGTCAGTGGTTTGTTATTTGTCACTTATTCTTACAGATTTGAAGAAGAATTGTAATAATGTCCTGAGAGGGTTTTAAAATGATACTTGCGAGAGGTTATTGTTTAAGGGGTTGTTGTCCACCCAAAGCCACATGCCCTCCGTCTTGCTGTCGGTCAGGCCAATCCAGTGATAGTCACTGATACCATTTACTCTTTTAGAAAGAAATTCCTACAACACAGAAAAAAGTGTTTTTGTCTTTGTCTAGCATAATGAAACCCAAAATGTACTACTTTTAAACTGTAGACTATGAGTGTCTCTTTATCTCTGTCATCGTCACACTGCTCCTAATTTGTACCTGTTCGTCTTTATTGTTGATGATGACCAGGTCTCCACCCAGATCCTGACAGCGCTGTCTGCTGCTGTTCCAGTCCATAACATCAGTGGAGAAAACATAGAATCTGCCCTGTGCTCTGATCCACTTCTCTTGTAAATCTGCATAGACAGTTTAGCTTAATAAAGATGTACAGGAAGTGCACTCAACAAAAAAAAAATCTTACTATGCGGTTAAGCTGAAATTTGAAACCAGATAGGCGAGAAGAAATGAAATATCTACAAAAGAAGTGCATAACTGTATTTAATCTAGTGTACTTCAGCTTTATTTCATAAATGGTGTTACTAATCCAATTCTGATTTAAGAAATATACAAATGACAAGTATACAATGAAACAGAGAAAACACAGTGTGTAACTGAACTATAGTTGAGCTGTCACGCTCTGCCCGCTCCTGTAAATGCTTTTCTTATTTATGAACACATAATCATATGATATGGCTTTACTGTACCTGAACAGTAGTTTGGTAGACTGTGGTTTTTAATAATCATGGAATTTATTTTCATTATTGGTTGAGAATCTAAAGGCAAGCCTGTGGAAAGAGCAAAATTGGTAAGACTATCACGGTAACGAGTACAGCTTTGGATGAGGAGAAATGATTATTTACCTGAATTTAAGCAGTTTCTTCTTGGTTCACAATACTGATTTGCATTTTTGGTGTGATCTGTAAAGTATTACGGTGTAGTGAAAAAAATCAAATATGCAAATGCTGATATTTAATACATATGTACAATGGGTCCAAATGTCTAAGACCCCTTTAGAAAAATACGGTTTTAAAACCTTGTTTAAACCTGGAAATAAATGGAACGTTATGATGCAAAATTGTAGGTCACTAATCAAACAGCATATAATAAAATAGCATTAAAAAAATAAAATAAAATAAGAAAACATAAGATACTCACACAGGTATGCCAACACTCCATTCGCCAACAGAGACAGGAAAAGGAGAACAGAGAATTTCCTCAGCATTGGTTCATAACAGTGCCCTGCGTAAGCAAATATAAGCACTATTACACAAATAATATATGTAATATGTATATAACAATATATATTATATTCAGAATTATATTTCATATTACTTCTAAATTGAGAAAGCACAAGTAAACAGTTTTAGTTCGAACCTTAATGTGGCTGCATAACAAATAATTGACAAAGGAGAATTAGAGGTACTGAAATGCAGTACGAATGCAGGAGAAAGGAAGGAAAATCAAAACATTAAACATTGACAACTTGATTAAAGTGTTTTAATGCTGTGAGCATCTTTGGGGAAGATGATAAGTCAAGTCAATATTCTATAAAAGTCAGTTAGTATGGACAAGAAAAACACACTTACTCTCATCTTTATCCGCCGATGTCAGTTTGGGGTCTGACAAATAGTTGAAATAAACATTTTCAGCCATCTTTTGTCTGAAGAGATATTGTTATATAGCAGTGATAAGAGAGAACTGAAGCACTCGAGTCTTGTGACAAAACACTCATGAAGAAAGACATGTTTCTGGGGGGTTCATTTAACCACATTGACCAAATAACAGCATCTGCAAAATTTCCAGTCAGCTGGTTTTTAGTGGTTTTGGGTATATTTTCAAACATTTTGTGATACTTAACATGCCTTTTATTTTGCTAAGTTGTTGTTTTTTAATAGTTTGTATTGACTACAAAATCCTTTGGCAATGATTTATTGTTAACAAGTTTATTAGCTGTGCACAGATAGGCCTATGTAACAGCATGATAAAAAAAGACAGGTTGTTGAAGGAACTTATTGTAATGAGATAGGCTTTACATGTGGTTAATTATTCTGAAGCACTCGAGTCTTGTGACAAAACACTCATGAAGAAAGACATGTTTCTGGGGGGTTCATTTAACCACATTGACCAAATAACAGCATCTGCAAAATTTCCAGTCAGCTGGTTTTTAGTGGTTTTGGGTATATTTTCAAACATTTTGTGATACTTAACATGCCTTTTATTTTGCTAAGTTGTTGTTTTTTAATAGTTTGTATTGACTACAAAATCCTTTGGCAATGATTTATTGTTAACAAGTTTATTAGCTGTGCACAGATAGGCCTATGTAACAGCATGATAAAAAAAAGACAGGTTGTTGAAGGAACTTATTGTAATGAGATAGGCTTTACATGTGGTTAATTATAATAAAATTGTAATTATTCACTTGACTTCCTAGTGCTAATATATGGTTTCATGAACCTTACTGTTCACAAACGGTGCTGCAAAGACATTCATACATGGTAAAGTGTCCAAACGCACTTTTAGATGCCATAGCTGACGGCTCTCATTCCTATGCTAGATCTTTTATCTACAAAATGCATTAACAAACAAACAAAACAAAAACAATTGTACACTATACATTTATGTATGTGTGTATATGTGTGTGTGTTACACATTGTCATTAGAACTTCATAGTTCTAAACACTTTTTTAAACTATGATAATATGAAAAACTATGAAAAGTATGATATATTGGTAGATTCCCATATCAAACATGGCATAGTATGGAAATGCGAAAACAAGTAAACAAGAAATTATATAAAATGTAGCAACCTCTTATATTTAAATGAGTGAAATAAAACAAAAAGTCAACTGTAAAAAATAAGTAATCTATACTATAGGTTTATTGAAGGCATGGGATCTCACAAATGCTCTTCTCTTCTCTTAAGCAGTAAATGTTTTCTTGTGTATTTCCTTTAAGAACAGCACAGTTGTCTTTGGGATTCAGATTCTCATCCTTGTTCCCAGCCCAGTAGAGATCAGATTCACCAGCAGCACACAGTCTCTGAGCAAGAAATTCCTGCATCACAAACACCATAGATTGCATTTATTCTCTTCTGTATTCATTCATAATATTCAAATAAATCTTTATTATAAAATGGCTCTTTATCAATAAAAAAGCTTATTATAAGAACAATATGTACTGTGACTATTTTACACTTTTACACGTTTTATTTGTGAAAACACACTGTGGGTTTTCACACCTGGACCCATTTCTCTCACATTTGTTCCTCTTTTAAAAACATGTTTTAATTCATAATGATCGGTGAAATATTTAATATTAAAGTCTTTATGTATAGCTTATCGAAAAATATCTATTATAAGAACAAAATGTGATGTGATTATTACACTTGCTTAAGTGTTGTATTTGTGAACGCACACTGTGGGTTTTCACATCTGGACCCACTTCTCTCATGTTTGCTCCTCTTTTTAAAACATTGGTTTTATTTATAATGCTATTTATAATTTGAAATCTTTCTTACAAAAATGATTTGCGCATGGTTTTATTAACGAAAATATCTATTATAAGAACAATATGTCATGTAACACTGTATTTGTGAACACACACTGTGGGTTTTCACACCTGGACCCACTTCTCATACATTTCTGCTTCTTTTAAAACCATGCAGAACACAAAGTCACGCACCTTCTCCTCTGTGCTGTTGATAATGACCAGATCTCCACCCAGATCCTGACAATACTTTCTGCTGGAGCTCCAGGTCTGGTTGTGACTGGAGAAAACGTAAAATCTGCCGTTGCCCTTATACCACTGCTCTGGCAAATCTACAGAGATAGTTTTCTATGTTTATAAAGAGGAAACGCATTTGTGTGTCTGCGTTTCAGGCTTGTGGTTTAGCTAGAAACACATCTAAAGGTTGGAAAAAAAACCCTGCTCAACTGCACCTTTACATACATAAATGTGTTTCGATCATATTTTGGTATGACTCACTGTTAAAAACACAAGAACAGATATACGGCAAGGCTCAGAAAGAACATGAACAAAAGCACAGACTCAAGCACTCAAAACTGATATTTTACTGAAAAACCAAACATAGTTTGACCTGGGCAGTAGTTTATTGACCTCCAGTCCTCATCATATTTGCAGCCCGGACTACCTTGATCGTGGTCTGAATAGGGGTGTGAGGAATTGAGAAAAAAAAGATACTCTCAGTTAATTATCATATAAAATTTGAGCAGATAGATGTGAATTATTTACCTGAATTTGAGCAGTTTGTTCCTGGCTCGCAATGCAACAGCACATTTTTGTATTTAGTGACATCTGCAAAAGACATAAAATGTAAAAGGAAGTGTAAATATACCACTGTATGTAGTTGGTTGGCGGTTCCTGTAAAATCCGAGGATACTCACACAAGTATGCCAGCACTCCATTAACCAGCAGAGACAGGATGAGGAGAACAGCAAGAACCTTGGCACAGATAGATCTACGTTGCTTCTCTTTGGCAGATTTCCTAGCTACAAAATAAAATAAGTTTAAAACGAATACTTAAGCAAACTCTAAATGACTTTTATTTATCAGAATAAAGCATCACGTGTCCTTTGCACCAACAAACCTCCTACACAGTTCTCCAATTTTTTTTGTGTGGGTTTGAAACGGTCGTATTTAAAAGCTGATAAAACATGAGCCTATATATAGGCTATATATGTAATATAATTAATTATTATCAAGGAGAAAAAGAATCAAGCACTTACTTCCAAATGAATCCTTTTTCATCCAGTTGGTGTTGTCATAAATATGATCAGACATGTCATGTTTGCCCATTATTGTCAAATAGAGAAGTGTGCTGCAGAAAGGTGGTGACGTGCTCTGATCTGTGGGTGTCACACTAAACAGGTGTCGCACTGTGGGTTAAAAACACTAAACCGACACGCTCATGCAAACCGAATGGCATTTCCTGTCAGCATTATTAGTTATGATGCTGGCCGATTTTCCAGATATGTTGTACTGTTGACAGTTTTTTTTTTTCTGATGTGTATTTATGGCAAGTCGTTTTGACTTTAATTAATTAGCAGGATATGAATTCTTGATATCAACAATTCAATTTTCACTAGTTAAAATGCTACTTCTTGATATCAGGAATTGAATTTCTACTAGTAAAAATGGGAATTTTTGATATCAACAGTGACATCATCACTTGCAGTAATACAAATTCTTGATATCAACAATTACATTTCAACTAGTAAAAACATAATTCTTGATATCTGTAATTGTATTTCTACTAGTTAAATGTAACCATAGGCTGCCATTCAAGTTCAATTGTTGATATCAAGAATTGATTTCTTCTAGTTGAAATTCTAATTTTACAAATCAGAAATACAATTCTTACTAGTAAAAACCTTGATTTTTGATATCAGTAATTGCATTGTTGCTAGTGCAAATGGCTATTCTTGATATAAACAATTGAGTTGATAATAACATTTAAATTTTTGATATCAATAATTTGATTGTCACTAGTGACAATGTTAATTTCTGATATTGTGAATGTGATTGTAGTAAGAGGCCATTTTAGATATCAGAAATTATATTGATATCAGAAATACATGTTGAAATACATTTACAGATCAAATTAAGGTTGAACCACTGATGTCACGGGCTATCAAGCTCTCGGATTTCATCAGAAATATCTTAATTTGTGTTCCGAAGATGAACGAAGGTGAGAGTAAGCAATTAATGACAGAATCTTCATTTTTGGGTGAACTATCCCTAATAATCTTTATTGTACATTACTGTATGGGGACTTGCAGAAAGCACATTTCACTACCTATGGATGTGTACATGACATTTTATCAAGAAAATATTCATTAACAACATGGAATTTCACAAATGCTTCTCTCCTCCCTCAAGCAAAAAACATCTCCCCACCTTGCCTCAAACATTCGTCCATTCAATACAACACAATCTTCACCCAGAGGATTGTCAGCTGATTTGTGATCATCAGGAGGCAGTGCCCAGAAACTGACAAATAACAAATGAATAAATTAAAAACAAGTGAATGAATAATTGATGAGATGTTTAGACAGGCACTTATCTAAATGGCTTCCAAACTGAATTTTCTGATGCATGTATCAACAGACATTTAAATGAATACTTGCTTAAGATGATTCGTGGTGTCGTCCACCCACAGCCATTCACCTTCCGTGTGTCTATCAGTCAGACCAATCCAATATAATGTTTGTGCGCCAATGGCGTGTATTACATTTGCTAGAAATTTCTACGAAATAGAGATTAAGTTAATATGCTTCATTTATTATATCCAATGCACATATGAGATTTTTCTAATAATCATATTATATATCTAAACCTGCTCCTCACTGCTGTTGATGATGACCAGGTCTCCACCCAGATCCTGACAGCGTTGTCTGCTGCTGTTCCAGTTCATCACATCAGTGGAGAAAACATAGAATCTCCCCTTGTCCCGGACCCACTTCTCTGGGAAATCTTACATGAACATTTCTTAATGTTTAATGTCACTGTGCTGTATAAAACTGTTGTATGGCACATGAGCAGTGAGACTTCGTTTATAATGTTTCTAATATATGCTCTTCTTTATACTGACATGAAAAATAAATTGACTTGCTTTTTTGGGGACAGTGATGTGCTTGGGACCTGTTTTCCATATCCTTGTGAAAGAACGGTTCGATTTGAGCATTGTGGTCAACATCTAGCATAGAAATAAACACAATTATAAATGAACTTCTAAATGAACATTGAGTATTACTATCTGTATTGTCACGTAAATGCAGAAGATGAGGAGTTTGTCTACCTTGATCTGAACAGCTCTTTAC